CACGGCCCGCCATGTTGTCCCCCTTGTCCACGGCCCCTGGTTAGATGGACCATGGTCCAAGCAAATGTTAATCCCCAGATCCACTCCGACCCGAACATGCCCATCCCATGTCCCAAGCCTTTCCGTGGCGTCTGCCGAGAGAAGGCAACGGCCTCGCGTCGAGGGCCGGGCATTGCAACGGCATTGGCACTGGCCCAGACGGACGCATGAAGCACATCATCGCCGTGACGCCGTCTTGGTCTCCCCACGACGATCCCCGGAAAGCTGGTGGAGGAGGTCGAGAGAGCGACCGGATCGTGCGCCCCTCAGACCGGCGCCTTCGTCACCGAACCACCCCTGCAACGTCGCATTCTCCCGTTCCTCGAGCATAGCCGACATGCGGTTCCTGGCCCGCGAAACCGGCAACACCTGGCCTTGCCACCCATGCCACCCTGGCCGACGCGGTTCGGGCTCAACTTGACCGTCGCTGACCGCGTCTTTTGCGCGGAGCAAGACCTTCCATCACCCTCTTACGGGCGACAGCACCTGCATGGGTCGCTGCGGACCTAATGGCGAACGGGGAGAGCTTCATGCGGGTGACGGAGCGCAGAAAGGGGAGAAATTTTCCTGACAGCACGCATTGACTCGCTCCCTCGAGTATATGTGCCGCCGTGCTCTCCTCTGGCGCAGCTCTCATTGCTCTCAGTCTGGTTGTCACAGTCGCCGCAGTACTTCTCTACCCCAGACCAGCAGCTGTCAGGATCCGCACCATGGCTCCCACTCTCTCGACCCTCGGCCTCGCCACCCTCTTCATGGGCCTGGTGTCGGCGCAGAAGCCCATCAACGGAGAGGACAACCACCCTCCCATCAAGACGTGGAAGTGCTCCCACGCCGACGGCTGCGTCGAGAAGACCAATTACATTGTCCTCGACTCGCTCATCCACCCCGTCTACCAGGCGGCCAATGGCGAGAACTGCGGATCGTGGGGCAGTGCTCCCCCCAAGAGTGCCTGCCCCAACAAGGAGGAGTGCGCCGAGAACTGCGTCATGGAGGCCATCAAGGACTACGAGCCCTACGGTGTCAAGACGTCCGGGTCCTCCCTGACGCTGCACCAGCTGTTCGAGGGCCGTCAAGTCTCTCCCCGTGTCTACTTCCTCGACGAGACCAAGCAGGAGTACGAGATGCTGCAGCTGACGGGCAACGAGTTCACCTTTGATGTCGATGTCTCCCGTCTCCCCTGCGGCATGAACAGCGCTCTGTACCTCAGCGAGATGCTGGCCGACGGCGGCAAGAGCGAGCTCAACAAGGGTGGCGCCAACTTTGGCACCGGTTATTGCGATGCGCAGTGCTTCACAACGCCCTTCATCAATGGAGAGGTACGTCACAGACCGACCCTATATACGGCCGTGCATGAATAGAACTGACATGTCTCAGGGCAACATTGGAGGTTATGGATCGTGCTGTGGCGAGCTCGTAAGTCTTTTGACAGTTTCTGCCCACCTTTTGTTTTCTATGCATACTGACAGGTCAGGACATCTGGGAGGCCAACTCGCGCGCCGTCCACGTCGCTCCCCACCCGTGCAACATTACGCAGCTCTACGAGTGCACGGGCGATGAGTGTGCCTTTGAGGGCGTCTGCGACAAGAACGGCTGCGCGTGGAACCCGTACCGCGTCGAGCAGGACGACTACTACGGCCGCGGCGCGGAGGAGTTCAAGGTCGACACGACCAAGCCCTTCACCGTCATCACCCAGTTCCCGGCCGACGCCGACGGCAAGCTCACCGAGATCCACCGTGCCTACATCCAGGACGGCCGCCTCATTCGCAGCGAGGTGGTCAACAACCCGGACCTCCCGCAGGTCAACTACCTCAACGACGAATTCTGCGCGGCCACGGGCTCGCGTCGCTTCATGGAGCTCGGCGCGCACGAGGGCATGGGCGACGCCATGTCGCGCGGCATGGTCCTGGCCATCAGCCTTTGGTGGGACGCCGGCGGCAACATGCAGTGGCTCGACGGCAGCGCTCAGAACGCCGGTCCTTGCAATCTCACCGAGGGTAACCCGCAGAACGTGGTCAAGGTCGAGGCCGACCCTGTGGTCACCTTCAGCGAGATCAAGTGGGGCGAGATTGGCACCACCTTCAAGGCGGGCTGCCAGCCGAAGCGCAAGTAAATATGCTGTAGAATAGCGTCAATATACAAGACATTTCCGCGTCAGATTGGTTGGACGTTTCGTGGGGGCGACTTGGGATGAGAGGCGGATCGAAATTTCCCGTACGCTTGGAGGTCGCATTCAATTTCAGGACGTTTGAGCTGGTCCCCCGAGATGCCAAGGACTTAACTGGGAAGCAGTCGAAACAAGGTTCTCCCCCGTCTGTCTGTTGTTGTGAAAGCGAGACCGAAGGACTGAGACAGGACCCGCTGAGTCAGCTCCCGCGTCGCGTCTCCAGAGCGCTCGCCGCGTAAAGTGGTCCTTGGACCTGCCCCCCTCTCTCTCCAGCCTCCATGCCAAAACGGCAGCCGCCTGGCCGTGGCAAGAACCATGCCCCGCCTCGACCGCACAGATACCCGATCTCGAGATCGGTAGCGGTGTTGTTTCTTACTTGCAGACTAGTGAACATGGAGGGCATCACGAGACGACACTTCTTCCACCACGCCGACACGGAGAAGCAGACTCCAGTAAGCTCTCGGTCCGTGACGCCGGAGCCACCTGCGACTGACAGCGACGCGCAGGGCATCACCAAGGAAAAGGCCGACTGCCACTGGTGTCAGATTCGAGCATTTCCCACGCATGAGACACATCCGATCACCATCATCAACGACATTGACGACGCGACGCTGCCGTCCAACTTTCGGTTCCTCCAGTCGTCGGTGCTCGGCGCGGGTGTCCAGGCCGCAGAGGATAGCTTCCGCTCGGGTTGCGACTGCACAGATGATCAAGATTGCCAATATGGAGGGTGCCTTTGTCTGCAGGAGCAGGATGACGCCGAGGACGACGGCAAGGAGGAGGAGGACGACGAGGACGACGGCGGCAGCGGGCAACGTGAACAAGGCAGGAAGAAAATATACCGGTACCACACGCACGGCGCCAAGGCGGGCCTGCTGCGCAGCAAGTTCCTCCACGAAGGCCGGGGGTCGACGCAGCCGCTGTACGAGTGCCACGAGGGGTGCGGCTGCACGTCGCGGTGCCCGAACCGGGTGGTCTCGCGCGGGCGGCGGGTGGCGCTGCAGATCTTCCGGACGGCGCACACGGGCTGGGGCGTGCGGTCGCTCGTGGACATTCGGCAGGGCCAGTTCGTGGACCGGTACGTGGGCGAGGTGATCACGCCGGGCGAGGCGCAGCGGCGGCGCGACGCGTCGGCGGTGGCGCGGCACAAGGACGTGTACCTGTTTGCGCTCGACAAGTTCACGGACGAGCGGTCGCCGGACGCGCGGCTGCGGGGCCCGCCGCTCGAGATTGACGGCGAGTTCATGTCGGGGCCGACGCGGTTCGTGAACCACTCGTGCGCGCCCAACCTGCGCATCTTTGCGCGCGTCGGCGACCACGCCGACAAGCACATTCACGACATTGCCATGTTTGCGCTGCGGGACATTCCGCGGGGCGAGGAGCTGACGTTTGACTACGTCAGCGGCATGGTGCACGAGGGCGACGAGAAGGACGAGGCGAAGCGGGACCACATGACGCGGTGTCTTTGCGGCAGCGACAAGTGCCGCGGCTTCCTGTGGTGATCTTCTGTGGTGACGAAGCACCGGATGGGAGGGGGTGGGGGGCGGCGATCCGGGCATCCGGGGGACCGCTGGGAGGATCCTGCTGGGGGCGAGGGGAGGAGATCGGGTCTCATGGGACTTGTGGTGGCAGCGGGTCCCGTGCAGGTGACGGAAATCCGGGGTATCCGGCTTGCTGGGACTGCCTAGCCAGCTTCAGGGACACAGTGGAGGAGAAGAAGAAAAGTCTGGAGACGGCTCGCAGGCTGAGGGGTTCCACAGATCGCTGTGCGGAACCCTTGACGAGCCGATACGGCTCTGGAAGAATGGCTCGAGAGAGAGTGAGGACACATGGTGGAGGTTCAGACAGACAGCAGTAGAGAAGGGGGGCGGGAACCATGTATTCACGAGATAGCTCATGGCGAACAACAGATTGACAGCCTCTCCCTTCCCTGCTGTCAGCGATCTTTGTGTAGCGTGCGTAGTAGGCGGGGGGGGGGGGGGGGGGGACGTCGAGGTGCCGGCACCAAGGATTTGCGGGGTCTCTTCCGTCTGTCCTACTGCTCCTAGCTGGTTACCCACCCACCTACCTAGCTACATGTAGGTACCCAAGGCACCTAGGCAGGCACCTAGGTAGGCCCCTAGGTAGCCTCCTAGGTAGCCTCTTGCTCCTGGGCAGGAACTAGGGTCCACGGCCGAACCCCCCACATGCCGCTGGCGAGGAGGGCCTGGATTGCAGTGCAGCCAGCGCACGCCCAGCACCCGAACGGCCTGACATGACCTGAAGCGGCCATGGGCAGAGAGGGTCCAGGCCTCGACGCCTGCAGGACGAACTGGGAAGAGGCAGCCAACGTCGACGCCCAGATGCCTCCTGCGAGGTAAGTCCTGAAAGGTAAGTGCCATGTGGAGTCGCCATTTCCACGTCGAAGCTTGATCGGTCACCTCGTTTTGACTTTGGCTCCATCCACTCCAGCTGATCTCCTCTCGTCCTGTCTTTTTGTTGGCAACACCATCTCCTCGGCTGTCCGACACCCTCTCGCAAACACACCCACCCACACCCACACCCACAGTAGGCCTCTCGACGAGCACACGACATCCCACCATCGCCTCCACCCACAGCCGCCTTCACACAGGCACCATCACGGCATCGAACCGCGATATCGGCACGGCCTTGGCACTCTCCGCTCTCAGCCCCCAGCTCTCAGCAAACCGTTGAGCTGCCCACACACCAGGCAATGGCCGTGCTGAGCCAACAACCCCTCTCATCTCAGTAAGGTACTCGGAGTCTTCTGCTTGACCTCGTCGCGACCTCAATCATCATGGTACGTGCTTCTTGTTCCTGCTGTCTTGCTCACCCTGTCCCTCGTGGCCCATGTCTCGGGAAACTGCCTCGTCGTGCCGGCCGTCTTCTCTCCCCACCCGTCTGTACTCTGTGTGCATTGGCGAAGCGTCCATGCTGAACATTCCAGGGCTGTTGCTTCTCCCGCCCCGACGGGCCCAACTCACCCTACCCGGGCGGTGACGACAATAACGCGGCGTCCGCTCACCCCATCAACCAGGCGCCGACGACAGCCCAACACGCAGCCCCCTACGAGACCCCCGCCACAGCCACCGTCAACGTCAGCATCCCCCGCACAACCTCGCCCTCACACCAGACTCTGCCCGTCCAGTCCCGCCGCCGCTCTCGCCGCGAGAACGCTCCGCTCGACGAGCACATCAACAAGCCCCTGCGCCGTCATGCCTGGACCTCGACCTCCCGCACCTGGACGCGCGCCGCCCTCGCCCGTGAGCGCACCGACTTTTTCGACACGCGCGTCACCGGCCGCGCCGAGGTCTGGGAGACGCTGCACGCCGCCCTCCGTGTTCTTTGGGACCCCGCCGCCCAGGGCGCCGCCGACGACGGCACCAACGGCCTCGCCACGGCCCAAGGCTTCCTCACCGCCGCAGAGGTCACACTGCCGACGGGCAACCTCGCCAACGGCGTCTATGACGCCCTCGGCAATTACTATCCGCTGCCCGAGTGGGTCGTCGCCGATCCCGACAACGTGGCCGAGGACGAGACGGACGCCGACGCCGACGAGGCCCGCAGCAGCACGGGCCGCGACAAGGAGGACCTGACGGGGGGTGAAGACACCGAGGATGCAGACGACGAGGCCGCCCGCCGCCGCGAGGAGAAGGGCAAGGCCGTCGACGACGCGCAGAACCGTGTCACGGTCCTCGCGCGCATCAGCGACACGTCGCGCGATATCTCCGTTTCCGTGAACGAGGCCGACACGATGCGGACCGTGGCGCGCAAGATTCATCAGCAGTCGGGGGTAGGTTCTCCTCTGTTCCACACGCGCAGTCTCTCTCGCTATTCAAAATGAAATCCCACTGACAGTATCCCCACTCCAGCTCCCGGATACCAAGATGATCCGCATCGCGTACATGGGCAAGCTCGCCAAGGAGAGCACGCCCCTTGCCGACCTCGGCTGGACACGAGGGCACGTCGTCAATGCCTTTGTTTTCGAGCGCCATGCGAGCTGAGCGACACGCATTGGCGAGCACCTTAATTACGCACCCATTCCCGGCGTCTAGGCGAGCGATCTAATCTGCCTGCAAGCGAGAAAGAGAGAGAGAGAGAGATTCTTTTGTATACCGAGCACAATGTCCCTGCTCGCATTTTGTCCGAGCCTCGAGTCTTGTTATGAGGACTGTTTCTTTTTTTTCACTTTTGATACCACTGCCGCATAGGCGCCCCTCCGTTGGAGAGAGGGGGGCAATGGAGTCTCTCGTCATGGAGCGCATACCTGTCTTTGATTTAGGGCCTAGTGTCTAGTTGCCCATCTAATGAACGTGCCGATCGGGCAGATGAAGTGGCGAGGCTACTGCGGATCCTGCTTTGATGTGACCTGCTCAGGAGAAAACGTCAAGTGTCATGAGGCACAGCATCCCCAGTCATCGGAATCATCTCAATTCTACCTATCGCTGACGCCATACCCGACAGCACTTTTACTCTAACCCCGTAGCAAGCGCGCTCCCCCCACCGGCGGCCGTCCCCTCGGCGGGGGAACACGGCATTATCCCCCGCGGAACCCGTCCGCCGCGCCACGTCACGCCCGGCAGCTTCTAGGCCGCCGCGACGCCAATCTTGTTGATGCCCTTCAGCGAGCCGAGGCTCAGCGCCAGGCCCTGCGAGCGGCTCCGTATTCTCACGAAGCCCGTGATGGGGCCCTGCTCGCCGTCCTGCTCGATGCTCAGGTTGGCCAGCGCGTCCTCGCCTGCAGTGGTCAGCACGGGTCAGGTCCA